AAGCATTTTACACAATCTTCTGTGATGCTGCATACAACAGGCATATACTTAATTAAAAATGGGGAGGAAAATATTCCCTCATAATCCGAGGGCCCTTTGTACATTTCAAAATACCAGTAATGTGCCTGGCATCTGACTGATTGTACCCATTACCCATTCTATGCCAAAATCCCTAGACCAGCAAACTCATTAGTCAACAGAGCCAAATATCAACAGTACAACAATTGAAATTTCTTTTGAGAGCCAATTTTTTTAAACATACTTCTTCTAACGCCACTTCTTTAAAATTGACTTGCCCAGGCCGTGGTATTTTGTGGAAGAGCCACACCCAAGGGGCCAAAGAGCCGCATGTGGCTCTCTAGCCGCAGTTTGCCGACCATAGATCTAGATGAATCCAACAAAGTTCACTTTGAAAAGGCTGCACATAATCATAAACCTGATGAAGACAGCATGGCAAATACTGAGGCCAGGTTTAGGGTGATCAGTTACACAAAATGTTGGAAATAAACCTAATACTTTGGAATTGTCACTTCCATAAAAAGGAATTTTGCCTAAAAAATATTAAGTGGGGGGAAAATGTTCATGTTTGTTGATAGTGGGTAATGTATATGTAGTTACTACTCTACTTTGTGTTTTTTAAGTTTTCGCCATTATTTTTAAAATTATAAACTTATGGCAGAATTCTAAAACAGCCCCAATGACCCATGCCTTTTTATGATTTCCTGCCCTGGAGTGTGGGAGAAATCAGTGAATATATCACTTCTGTGATTAGGCACAACTGACTGAACTTGAGAGCTTATCTTCAGTGGGCCTGGCCTGATTAGGTGAGCCCTTGGAAGGGGTGGAGCAGTTATAAAGGATGTACAGTGGTGCCTCACACAACGAACTTAATTCGTTCCAGGAGCAAGTTTGTTATGCGAAAAGTTCGTTATGTGAAACGTGTTTTCCCATAACAATACATGTTAAAAAAAATAATTCGTTCTGTAGCATAAAATATGCTAAGATGACATAAAAAAAGATAATTTTTTGTTATTATTTTTATTTAGATACATCATGATATAAAAAAAATATTGAGTTTAACTTAAAAGGACGACTGCCGTGATACGTGCGTGATTTAATTCGTAATGAAGAACGATTGCCGTGATACGTGCTTAAGTTAAGCGCAGTGACTAACGACTGCCTGCAGTGCCTGCGCGGAAGGATGCAATACATCGGCAGCGATCGTGGAAGCTCGGGCAAAGCGGTCGTGGAAGCTCGGGCGACTTCGTTGTGTGAAACGAAGTTCGTTGTATGAATCATGAAATGAAGTTCGTTGTGTGCAGCGTTCGCTGTGCGAGGCGTTCTTTATGCGAGGCACCACTGTAATATACAACATGGTGGCTACTATTTGAAAGTCGCTGCCAGAATAGATCTCAAAAGTTCTTATCAGAAGAAAAAGTTGCAACTATGGCCCTAGCTGGTTTTGCTCAGTGGATAGAGCATTGGCCTGCAGACTGAAGGGTCCCAGGTTGGATTTTGGTCAAGGGTATGCACCTTGGTTGCAGGCACATCCCCAGTGAGGGGTGGGCAGGAGGCAGCTGATGGACGTTTCTAACTCTCTATCCCTCTCCCTTCCTCTTTGTAAAAAGTCAATTGATGTTAACTACACTTATTGTGGAAATAATTTTGCAGATATTGAGTCATTATGTTGTACACCTGAAACTGTAATGTCCGTTTTATCTCAATAAAAATAAAAAGTAATTTTAAAGCGAGGGTGGGGCTATTCCCTGGAGATTTAGTGTGAGAGGGATTTGGCAGTGAATGCTTCTGTCCCAGCTTTGAAGATGAAGGGGACCACATGGCAAGGCATGCAGGTGGCCTCCATTAGCTGAGAGTGGCCCGTCGCTGATGGCCAGCAAAGAAATAGAGACAACCATCCTACAACCAAAAGGAACTGAATTCTGCCATGAGAGCCTGGAAGAGGACCCCAAGCTCCAGCTGAGAACACAGGCTGGCTGACACCCTCACTTCAGAATCGTGAGAACATTCACGGAGACCCCAGCCACCGCATCCTTGGATTTCTGAACTATAGACATGAAATAAATAAATGTTGGCTTAGCCACCAAATTGGTGATTTGTTATGCAGCAACAGAAAACTAAAAATATCACACACACACAGAACAGTGGCCAAAGAACAAGACCAAATGCCCTGTTTATTTACACTCTTTTTTTTTTTAATATATTTTATTGAATTTTTACAGAGAGGAAAGGAGAGAGCTAGAGAGCTAGAAACGTCATGAGAGAGAAACATTGATCAGCTGCCTCTTGCACACCCCCTACCGCACAAGGTACATGCCCTTAACCGGAATCGAACCCGGGACCTTTCAGTCCACTGACCGACGCTCTACCACTGAGCCAAACCGGTTTCGGCATATTTACACTCTTTTATTAATAAAAACAACAGGAGGAGGACAAGGTTTCAATATTTTATTCAAGTTTTATTTTAAGTGATGTTAATTACAGCATTTGAAAGGGATGATCTAATTCCACACAATGGAAGACTCTAAAATGTACCCATTTAAACTGCTAAAAAATAAACCAAGTGTCGAGAACACACAACAGAAGTCTAATTTAGGTTCCGAGTGTTGTCACCATGTGATTACAGTCACAGACTCTTCCCAGCTTGCAGCTGGAGCTCTTGGAAGCTATTTCATACTCTGGTGCAAGGGCGAAAAACCACAGCATGAGAGGGAATTAAGTCCTGAATTTATTGGCTTCATCACATCCACCTTCTCCACCCCAAAATGGCAAAAAAGAAACTACCACACCCTGCAGACTACGTTTGGTGCAAAAGAGGTGATGGACCGGGGTGGAAACAGGTCTAAAAGAGTCCCATCAGATGAGTTTGTACACGCCATCAGAGAGTGGGCCTCTCTCAGTTAGCGTAGGAAATCAAGATTCAATTCTCAGGAAGTCATAATTTCATACATTGAAGCAATACAAATTTACAAAGTGCTTACAAATCATCATCAGCTTCCGCTTGTGGCCATTTCTTGATGAAAAAGAAACCTGACACCTCTGGCGGGAATGCCAAGTTCCCCCAAGTCTACAGCTGTGAGGACCTGTTCTGGGAACGGGCTTCTTCTGTACCTCTGAAAGGGCAACACCTTAAAGCTGAATCATCTTTAACCTGGAGCTCTAACATGATATTTAGCAATACTTGCATCCCAGACATACAACATTAAAAGGTACACTAAATTCTGAAGGTAGCTATGCTGCAAAATAGTTTAAAATTAAAACGATTGTACAGTGTTCGTTTATGCTTGAAATTCCAGTCCTAGACCAAGCTTGTGGCCACCAGCGTTGACATTCTTGCCATCCAGCAGAGCTGACAGCGTCAGTTTGATACCTGCAGGGGGAAATCCGGGAGATGAAAGGGGGAGGGATGAAGAAAAGAAGACAGAAGAAAAGTTAACACGCGGAGGAATGTTGGAGGGCCCTGGCAAAACCATACCAAACCCAAAATCTGTCCCAGCTACGTGAGCAGGGGCAACACCACACAGCCCATCCATCGTTGTGACTCAGTGCCAGCTGCCTGATGAACAGGCGGCCTGGAACGAGCTTTTTCAACCATCAATATTATTCCACGGCCTGCCTAATCCACTCTAGGGGCTCCACTTCCCTTTTTTCCTTTCATCGTCTCCACTACCACTCACCTCTCCACCACTGGCACCATGAGGTAAGCTTTAGCAATGGCCCCTTGAAATGAAACCCTGATCATGAGCCAGACACCTTGGTCTTACACTCGTGTACACACACACACACACACACACACACACACACACAAAATACCGATATTTTCCCTTGAACAGCTTGATTCTGACATCATGTTATCTTAGATTCCCAGGGTTCAAAGGCCAAACCTATCCAAAATAACCCCAAGGAGGGATTAGCTCCAGAGGCTGGCCGAGCCAACTGTGCCGAGGAAACCTGCAAACCAGTTTTACCGTGGGGATGACCTATGGGCTAGTTTTAAGAACCTGCTGGAAATCAGTATCAAGCATTACGTACACTGAAAGAAAAAGGATGGCCGAAACCGGTTTGGCTCAATGGATAGAGTGTCGGCTTGGGGACTGAAAGGTCCTGAGTTCGATTCCGGTGAAGGGCATGTACCTTGGTTGCGGGCACATCCCCAGTAGGGGGTGTGCAAGAGGCAGCTGATCCATACTCTCTCTCATCGATGTTTCTAACTCTCTATCTCTCTCCCTTCCTCTCTGTACAAAATCAATAAAATATATTAAAAAAAAAAAAAAAGAAAAAAGAAAAGAAAAAGGATGGAAGAAAACAACCAAAACCGTAGCATGCTAGCTTTGCTCTTGTCTCCTGACTACTTCTATTCGCCAAATGTTTTATAAGGACTGCACACCTTTATAAACAGTTCATTATTAAGCTTTATGGACACTCATTTGCAACGTACTATGCAGGCACTTTATAAGCAATAGCATACAGAAGCAAACAAGAACCACAATATTTTTTTTAAGACAAAGAACTGATTTCACATATAACCAACACATACCTGGCTTTAGTGTCTGGGTATATCCCAACCCGATCAGGCTGGAGTTGTTCACTTTAGCCTAGGGAAGGAAAACAGAAGGCACAGGAAGAGCTTTTTAATCAAACAACTCTGAACTTCAGAATCACACTCTCTTTTCTCATGACGACTTTGTTCGTGGGCTTCCTCAAATTCACTATGAAACGTATCAAATTTAGGGAGACTGGTCTCAGAAGGGAAACTCAGAGTCAATAGGATTTTCAATTAAAGGATGCTATTATTTATGTTTAATTCCTGAAGATATGAATGCCCAATTTCACTTATACAAACAGGTGTGTAGTCAAGTTATAACAGGTGAGGATATTTTCATCTTTGGGCCCTGAGATAAAGGCTCTCTTAAGGGGACACTTCTTCAAGATTTATTTGTTGGAATGAGGAAAAACAGCAAATGTGAGATGGGTTTTTTGAGGGGTTTTTTCTTGTTTGGTTGGGGTTTTTTTTATTGTTTTTTAGGAAGAAAACACCATTAGAATTTTCTCAAAAAAAGATTTTTTTTTCTTCATGAAAAAGAGAAGCAAAAATCTACTGACAATGAAGAAAGTTCAGCACAGACAAGCTGGAGTTTGAAATGGATACTGGAGTAAAAGAATGACCTAGCCCAGTGGTCTCGGTTTGCCACTCTGTTGACTAATGAGTCTGCTGACCACTGACCTAGCCAATCACTTCAATGTCAGCAATGAGTGAATGTTCACTAATAATTAAGTTCAGTAAAGCAGTTGAGCCCGCATTCCTCTGCCTGAGTTGTAGGGAAGTCCGGGCCTCTCCCTGACCCCTTTCTCTAAAATAAGAGGGGTCAGGAGCAGAGCAAGCTCCCGCCATGAGAACACCGAGTCCTGGTAAAAGCTGGTGCATGTTTTCCTGTTCGAATGCTATTTTCAGACCTGACATCTCCCGTCAGAAAGAGCAGGGCAGGGACAGGAAGGCCTCCTGGCAGGCAGTGCCCCATCTAGCTGTTCCTTTTTGTTTGTATCATCCAAACGCCTCCTCCCTTTGTTTTTATCTTTTTTCCTTCTTCTTCCAACACAAAAGGAGCCAAATTCAGTCCCTGAGACGTGAAACCGGCTGTATGTAATTTACACAAACCAGCCCAGAAACCTCCCTGCACCATCCTGAAGCCCCTCCACAGTGCCCTGTGACAACACAGGCTGAGCTCGACAGGATTTAACGTGACGGCTCTGCAGCAACCAAGAGCCCGTGAACAATGCTACAGGCTCTGCGAGGTAAGATGCCAGCTGCCCAGCACCAGGGCCTGTCTTCACGATGTGCAGTACGGGAGCTGGGCAAGGGAAGGACAGAGGGGGAGGGGAATGAGCTCTCCAAGCCTCCGTGTCCCTGGGAGCCCCTTTCTAGCCTGCAGCAGGGAACCGGAACTGGTTAGCCAGCCAGCCCGGATCAAGCCCAGGCCCCCGAGCTTACCCAACGTCTGCTCTTGGGCAAGTTACTCAACTTCTCACTTGATCTTAGCCAAAAGTCCCAGAAACCCTTACTTACTCAACTTCTCTAAGCTCCCCAGTTCGTCATTTGCGATACCAGGGATGGCATGATGTTTTTTGTTTTTTTTTTAAAAAGCACCTACTTCAAGTGGGTTGTGTGAGAATTAAATACAGTAATCCACATATAAGGGGCTCCACACAGCGCCTGGCACCACAGTAAGTACTATGACGGTTAGCAGTTTCCTTATTTCGAACTCTTTTCACCGTGAGAAGATCTCCAGCCAGTGCGTGGAACGCCCACAGTCGTGAGTGATTCCAGCCTCAGGCCAGGTGAGGCCTAGGGGATGCGTGGATCCCCGGGTACCCACCGAGAAGCAGGCTTCGGGGTCGATCTGGTACTTGGCTGCTATTCCAAAGCGAGTGTTACTGTTTCCTGCTGTCCAGGCGAGGTTCACGGCCGTCTCCAACTTCTTGTTCACCTTCTGGTAAATGGAGCCGCCAAACTCCGTCCCGTCGTTTCTGCAAACAAGCGCAGCACAGATGCCAAGACGCCCGGGAAGGCGGGCTGGAGCGGGGCAGCGCCGCCCCCATCAAAGTGAGGGCAGGGAGGCTGTGAGAGGACCCACCTCCTCACAAAACAAGTACCAATTACAGGAAGCCTGACAGGAATGAACAGACACCCGAGGCGGGAGGTTCGGAGCAAGGGATGACTATTTCAACCCTCACTGGGAACACCCCATGGCAGCTCAGTCAAGCACCACTGAACTTGAAGTTTGCTTCTAACACACCCTTTAAAAACAGATGCAGCAACTAGGGCATTGGGATTCGGGGTTCTGAGTGATTTCTGCTGCTAATATTATTACTTTTTTAAAGGCTTCTATCATAAAAATGGTAGGCAAAGCGAGGAGCAAATGAGACGAGAACTCAGCCAGAAGTGGCAGGCAAGGCTGGGCCAGTGTTCCCCAGTAGACAAGTTACATAGCTTTTTGCACCACCGCCGCTCGGGGACACAGCCAGCACCGATCCAGCCCCCTGGACGAGAAGCGACTGCAGGAGCTCAACCTCCGGTTCAGACTGGCCCGCCTGTGCGTGCTGCTGGGCCACGCAGCAACACCCACCGTCCTGGTGGGACTGGGAAAAGAGCTACTTGCTCCTGGCAGAATGTCTCTGGTCTTTCAAGGCGGATTGAAGCCCCGCTGGCTAGACACCTTCTTCTCTTCCAAACGCTGCAGACTGACTCCAGCCTCTGGCAATAGACCCTTCCCCTCCCTGACACTTTCAACATAAATAAACACTGTCAAAGTTCTGCCTCATCGTTTTGGGTGTTTCCAGTGGAAATGACATTGGAAACTGTTGAGGCAGAGCCCGTGTGCTTAAGAATCCAGAGCTTAGAACTCACTAACCCAAGAATACACTGTTACTCTTCCACTGCAAACTCTGCTTTTCACCAATACTCTCTCCCTAAAGTAGGTGCTCACTAAATACATTCTAAATCCTTACGTTTTTCCCTTGAAATGCAGCCAGACATTGTTCTTCCAGAAACAACAGGAGCCACCTGACTTGAAATGCCAACTTCTTCAGGAAGTTCGAGCATTAAAATAATTAAGGTTATTTAAATTTACATAACCTTCTTACAATAGAAGTATTTTAAAAAGTAATAATACAGCAGAAACCGGTTTGGCTCAGTGGTAGAGCGTCGGTCTGCGGACTGAAAGGTCCCAGGTTCGATTCCGGTCAGGGACATGTACGTTGGTTGCGGGCACATCCCCGGTGGGGGGTGTGCAGGAGGCAGCTGGTCGATGTTTCTCTCTCTCATCAATGTTTCTAACTCTCTATCTCTCTCCCTTCCTCTCTGTAAAAAATCAATAAAATATATTTAAAATAATAATAATAAATAAAATTAACAAAAAACATATTAAAAAAAAAAAAAAAGTAATAATACAGCCGAAACCGGTTTGGCTCAGTGGATAGAGCATCGGCCTGTGGACTGGAGGGTCCCAGATTCGATCCGGTCAAGGGCATGTACCTTGGTTTCGGGCATATCCCCAGTATGGGGTGTGCAGGAAGCAGCTGATCGATGATTCTCTCTCATCGATGTTTCTAGCTCTCTGTCCCTCTCTCTTCCTCTCTGTAAAAAAATCAATAAGATATATTTAAAAACAAAAAAAATCAACAACAAAAAAAGCATGTATTTAAAAAAAAAAAAAAAGTAATAATACAAAACAGCGGCTTTTCGAAAGTAACAGATTTGAGTGGCTTTGGTATAACTCAAAAGGGGATATTTTCTTGGTCTTAAATGTTTTCCAAAAAAAAAAAGTCATGTTTTTCTTAAAAGTCGTGAAGTTCAGGTACACAGGGAAAACAGCAAACAATCATTGTCCTTCCCTAACTGGTGCCAACTCCCCATTCCAAACCAAGGGGGCACTTTCCATTTCCGTCAAAACGGTAAATTAAAAAACACTTCTATGTGTGTGGCACTTTCCTGTGACGTTTTGTATGTTACCTTTTTTAATTTACATAACCTTTTTGCCCCTTCGTTGGTGTACATTTCTGAGTTTTATCACAGACTCTGACCAGTGACCACCGTCACAATCAGGGTAAAAAACAGTGCCATCCCCCAGACTCCCTCAGGCTACCTTCGTGGTCACCACCTTCCCAGCCTCCGAGCCACCTGACTGAACAGCGCTATAGTTTTCTGTGACTTTTTTAGTTTTAAGAGACTTAAAATTTATGAATAATATTCATTTATTATATTACTTAATTGTAGAAATTCCCTAAAAAAAAAAAGTGTGTTAATTCACAAAGACACCGATACCATTTACTTGTCTCTAAGTTCCAGAAGTCTCTTCTTCAGTGACCTCTAGTGGAGAGAAAGAAATTTAGGAAAGTTGCACCCGACTTGTGCCACAGGTTAGCTCCTCAGATCCCACTGGGATTCCATGGATGAAATATCTGTTCCCCTTAACCTAAATCAGCACTGCAACGCTCACGTTTGATGGCAAGGGGCGCTCTCTAACCCAACTCATAACTTCCTCTTCCCTTCGCTATACTGTCCAGAAGTTAGTAAACTTTCCAATGCTCCACCACTCGGTACTTCACTGAGAAAACCGTCCCCTCGTTTGTCTCCCATCCTGATCCTCACAGGCAGCATATGGAGAAAGAGAGAGCAGCAACCAGCCCCCCCATTTTGTTAACTAAAACCGAAGGGCCCTCCAATTCCCGTAAAGCTGCAGGAAGGGGCACTCCTCTGACATCACACTCTGGATCCGTCCTTGTGTGTACCAGCCACCAGTGACCGCGTTTACAGTTCGCTGAACATAAAGACCCTAAGTCAGGTCAGGAAACGGGTCGGTGGGAAACAGAAAATGGTAGCAGTCCATTCGGCTCATCTGATCATAACCAACTCACTTTATGGTGATAAAACACTGAGCTTAGGAGTAATCATGAAGAACACTCCCCCTGCTGCACACACTCACATGCCCACACTCACACACACTTACACGTTAGTGTGAAGCTGGAATTCATCGGTCTTGTAGCCGACGGCAAAGTTGCTCTGGGTCACGCGGGACTTGGCTGTCTCGAAATTCATCTGGTAGCCAGCCAGCCAGCCCTCGTAGCCCAGCACCAGGGCGCCCCGGATCGAGGGCCCTGCGATGTCAAAGTCCACGTCGCAGCCCAGGTTGATGTGCTCCCGCTTGTACCCTGACTTGATTTTAGCGTTTTTTTTCCTGCAGGAAAAAAGATGGTCTTAAAATCAGGAGCTAACTCGCCTTGTGACAACCATACCAAAAAATGAAAAATTTAAATAAATAAAAAATCCCAGTTAAATGGGAGCGGGAAGGGGGCTGCACAGAAACGGTCCCAAATCTCCCTTGAGCATAAGCAGCTGCTGTACCACAACAGGCAGAACACAACCTGTCCTCCCCCAAACCCGATCTGCAGAAATGCCGAAGTAATGAAGTGAGCACACAGCCTGGAAACAGCACAGGTCGCTTTCTTTTACTTCCTCTCCCTGTGTCTCCCGGAAAGGCCTACACAGGCACTTATTGGGTGAATCGCCATCATGTAATTATGAAACAGGTGCATCTGCTATTTTCCAAGACCGGTGAAGAAAGCACTCTCTAAACAGCAGCTCTTGTTCATTGTTGTTAATCCTCACCCGAGGTTATGTCTCCACTGATGGTTAGAGAGCGTGGAAGAGAAAGGCAAAGACAGAAAGAAACATCGATGTGAGAGAAGCACATCTATTGGTTGCCTCTTGCACGAGCCCAGACCAGAGCCCAGGGCTGCAACCGAGGTACATGCCCTGGACCAGAATCGAACTCCAGACCCTTCAATCCGCAGGCCGATGCTCTATCCACTGAGCCAAACCAGCTAGGGCTAAACAGCAGCTCTTAAGGAGATGGTCTGGTCATCTTCTGACTTGGTGGCTCACTTAAGTAAAAAAGAAACAAATACTAGATCAGGGGTCTTCAAACTACGGCCCGCGGGCCACATGCGGCCCACAGAGGAGTCTGATCCGGCCCGCCAGGTTTTTTGGGCAGTGAGCGCAGCCGAGGTGTTACAGTAGGAATTAGTAGTTCATATAGTCCGGCCCTCCAGCTCTCTGAGGGACCGTGATCTGGCCCCCACTTTAAAAAGTTTGAGGACGCCTGTAACTAGATCTTGTCTAAGTAAGTACAACAGCTTTTAATTAGTATTCATGAGGCTGCAATGAGAACTCGGCCCAGACACAGCACCGAGGGCCCTGCAGTCACAAGGCCAGGAGACCCCAGGTCTAGTCTGCTGACCCCAGGCTTGTGGAGGACCAGGTCGGGGCCTCCCCACCTATGATTCAAGACCCCACACTCCTCAGGACGGGGAGGTGAGTGTGTCACCTGCAAATATATTGTCACCATCCTTTTACCAAAAGTCAACACTGGAGACAAGATCACCTCTATCAAACGATATTTATACTCTTTACACCTGATTGTTTCTGCCATTGAGCTCAAAATGGACCTCTCTCACGGACAGCAAGCTGCATTCTCGGCAGAGATCAGGGAAGAAAGCAGATCTGTCAGAGGCCCAAGGACTTCACAGTCCTGTCCACCCCAGAGTCATTTGCACTGAGGCTGAAGCCTCCCCAGCACCTGGCCTATGGGTCCTAAGTATCATCCCTAAAAGGAACCAGTGCTCCTCAGAGAAACAGTCGAATATAGGTCGCAGGAAATGAGAAGGTGAGCTTGAGGCATCTATCAAAGCCTCAAGGATATTGAGGCTGGGGCAAAAGGACTTGACAGTGAACATGAAGAGACTCCCAAGGGCTAAACATGGGGCAATGGGAGCATCGTAAAAAGTGATATTGATAGCCCTGGC